AAGCCTGAGAAAATTCTGAGTTTCCTGAGGTATTACTGCCCCTACCCTTAGCAATCCCAATCACTCATTAATTCACTCTGTGACGTGAATATACCCTTCTCTCCTTATCTGGAGCAAGTTATCTATCTTTCTAAAGACACAGGAATGCCCTTATTCTTGGTGACCTGCAAAGGGAAGCCAGTTCTCCTTGTGTGCTACCACTAGATCTCATTGTTTCAAGACTTGTGGTTTGAATCAATCCCCTGCATGAGTCAGGAGTGGCACAAATATAGACTTAATCTTGGGAGAAGAAAGTTGACAAATTCTCCCAACTGTAAAACATTTTTATATTCCTGTAAAAATATAGGGAACGGATATTTCAAAATACTCTCAAGCTAAAAAGGAATGTGTTAATTTGGGTGAGGCTGAATTTATCAATATAGATGCATTCATTAGGAATTCTTGACTATGTTCTAATTGGAGTAGGTAAAGCTTTAGTTTCTTTAATATCCACAGCAATAGGCACATACTTGCAGAATACAAAGTATAGCCAGATCCTGAAATTAAAATTTACTGATTTACTCAAACTAAAACAACTTAAAGCCAACTTTGGAATCTGGTAAATTTCAATCATCACTATGATCTACATACTAGGGTGGGACTTAAAGGAGTCATTTGATGAATAACATTTGAGAACAACTCTATCAAGCTGCCTAGATTAAAGTAAGTCCATGAACACCCTCAGTAAACTACCTTGTCCACACCCACAAACAGCATTACAGAATCTGGCTTTACTAAAATTATGTCCCACCTGTATTTTATGAACCCAGATTCCATTCTCTTTTAAACTATCTCAGTGAAAGCAATATCCCAGAAATCTTTTGGAATATGATAGGATAAATAACATAAACATCCACAGAGAAAGGAGTATTAAAATGGATTTAACTTTGTCTATCCCATCACACACTTGAGATGCATTTAAATGTGACCCCCGGGAAGAACCTGAAAGAATGAATGATTCCAGTATTGAGAATTATTGTGGAAGGTGAAGTAACTTTCTTCTTTCGAGAAGAACTTTATGACTATATTTGGTAGCTTGGAGCTGTGGTCAACTGGGAGATCTTGTGCAATGGTGTCCCTGATTTTCAGGACAGCACAATCCTGGGGTGGTGACCATAACAAGCAGAAGCACCATATATCCCCACCTATGAATGCATGTATATGGGACACATATGATCAAATAGATGTAGCATGCTGCTGAAGTTCTTCTCCGATATTGACATGATGAGAAAATTCCTGGTGAGCCAGAGTAACCTGGTTTAAGAGGCCTCATTGAACTTAGAATTCATCACTTAATTCTCTGACATGTCATTTTACAAACCCAGAATAGGGGCCTCCCTGGTGGCACAAGGGGTTAAGATGCAACCTATGAAGCTGTTCTTAGCCTCTGCAGCACAAGTCCGATCCCCCAGCCCGCCAGGGAGCAACCCACATGGCGCAGCAGACCTCTCCTGACTCGCCCGTTGCTCCCCTCAACAGTGTACTTTGGTTGATCTGCCTGTTCTGTTCCCTACTCTGTCTCTGGTGAATCCTCTCACCCCCCGACTCCTTTGGCCTAAAAGAAGATGGTGCTGGCAGGCTCTGTAAAATCTGTAAGCAACACAGGAGAATGGGCATTGAGATGAGCGAGATAGCCAGTCAGAGCTTTCAGTTTGTCTCTAAGCTAACATAATTTCTGGGGACCTTAATTGCTAGTGTGATTTATGTACTACAGTGAGACTTAAGAGAATCAGTCGATAAGAGTTGGTCTCAAGTTCAACTTAAAATAACATGAGGTTTCTCTCAGACTCTTCCTATACTTATTTCCTGAGTTTTATATGTAGAGTTGGAAGGACTGCCTTCAGTAATTCAATTCATAATTACTTCAGCAAGGAATTTAGAAGGGAAGAGACAAATACAAAACAATACTGATTGCTGCAGTATCAGTAAGGATGGGGGCCTCATCTAGGTGTTAGTAGATGGAGGTTGTAAAACCGCTCACACATTGTGACTATGTGACTCTACTTTCACTGGTGATGAGCTGGTTTAAAGTGCCACAGAATTATGGTTCATTTAATTAGGTCATTATTCCAAACTTGGGTGCTTCTCTAGATATGTGTTTGCATAAGCATAAATCAAGAAAAGCCCAAATGCCCAAAAATAGATGACTGGATCAAGAAGATGTGGTACATATATACCATGGAATATTACTCAGCATTCAAAAAAGATAAACACATGCAATTTGCAGCAACATGGATGACGCTGGAAGGGATCATGCTCAGTGAAATAAGCCAAAAAGAAAAAGAAAAATACCGGATGGTCTCACTCATAGCAGGGATCTAGAAAACTTAAATAAGGGACCAGGAAAATGAATAACTATAAGAAAGTGAAAATCAAAATCAACAAAAACTATGAACCAGAGACACTTTTTGGGGGGTGGGGGCGGGAGGGGAGGGATTGGGGTCAGAATGGGGGGATTGCAATTGTATGGGGAATATAAAAATAAAATATATTAATTAAAAAAAAAAAAAAGAAAAGCCCTGGCAAGTTCAGGTCAGGTTTTCCTGCCAAATAGCACCAAAACTAAAATTTCAGAGTTGTTTTTTTATCTCATGATTAAAAATGCTCCAATTTACCCATTATCTGGTTACTTCTTATCCTTTTTCAAAAGCATTACCTCTTGCTTATGTCTATGCCCAGCATTGAATTGATTTTTTTCTCCTAATTCAACGTAACAACTTTTGGATATTTTTAGCCATTCCACTTAATTTAATTTCTATCTTCTTTCATGAATTCCAAGTCTATATCTCTTATCCAAGTAACCTCCATTAGCACTAGTTACATATACCTGAAGAAATTTCATTTAACTCCAGAACAGACAGCTCAATCTCAGCATTTTTAAAATTAAACCTGTGATCTTCCACTCCAAACCTTCCTTATCCTAGTGAACAGCATTCATATTCACACCAAAACAATCCCTTTGGTTAGAATATAGAGAGGCAAGGCCTCTATAAGATCAAAAAGCACTGCATGCTAGGTGGATAAATGTAGGCATTAGATCTTATTCAAGTGGCTTCACATTTTTGGGCAATCTATAAAATCGGATATTTTTAATGAGAATACCTAGGTTTCAGACCTACATGTACTACTTACTATGTGACTTTGACTTTTTTATTTCTTCTGTAAAATAATAATTACGGATGGTTTATAAGGTTGGGGGAGAAAGGAGATGAAGATGAATGCATCTTGTAAAATATGCAGCATTATACAAATGCTTACTATTATGATTATTATCTCTAAGTTCTTTTAAAGCTCTGACTGGTTCATTGGGCACAGAAAGGAGCATTTTCAGTTATCAATCATGATCAAAGTATTCTCTCTAAACAACAAACTAGCTGGGTATGTTATAAACATCAGGAAGTGGAAAGTCATCTGTTCTCTATTTTATTAAAAAAAAGTTTATAAATTTAAAAATAATAATTGTATATATTTAAAGAGTACATGATTTGTAATATGCATGTACATAAAGAAAAATACTACAGTCAATTTAATTAACATATATTCATTTCCTCACACGTTTTTTTTTTTTCATATTGGGAATGTTTGAAATTGACTATCAGCAAATTTCCAGTGTACAGTACAGTATTATTAACTATAGTCATCATGCTTCATGTTACATCTCTAGACTTATCCTACAGAACTACAGCATCTGTTCCAGTGAATAACTTCATGAGGAGGTCAGGGATTGTGATTGACAACTCAGTGGCTATGGCCATTCATGCTGGAAGAAAAGAATCCTTGGGTCTCAACTTTTTTTCAGCCCGAACAGTGAAGCTTTGTTTGGACCCAGTTTAATTCAGCACCAGTTCCCTGGGAAATGATCAGAGGCATGTTTGAAAGTCAAATGTGCAAGGAGAGAGCTTCCTGAGTAGGGTAGCGCTCTTTATCTACCCTCCTTCCTCCTCTTTAAGGCTTTCAAAGAGTGCAGCAATTCCTTTTTTTTTATTTCCTTAAAGTCTTTCTTTTCATCTCTAGCACGTCTACCTCATGTCTCATTATAATTTCACTTATTTCTATAAAAGAAACTTGACAGCTACAGAGCATGTGAGGGGAGAGTGGAAGGAGGGTGGGCATATGGGGGAGTGAAGAAGCAGGCAGAGAGAGAATAAAAAGGATGTGCCTATGGCTGGGAGTCCACACAGAACTCCTCTGGGTGACACTTTCTGAAAGGATTGCATCTCAGCCATATGGCAGCACAGTCCCTTGGTATTATTTTAGAAGACACCTAGAGCATGAATAGAAAATGGGATGAAATCACTGCAACTTAAACAGCATAGAAGTTGACTGTTTCTCCCAACTCAATTATTTTACAGGGGTCCTTAAAATGATGCTGGGCATTGATATCTCCAAGTGTGATTACTGCAATCCGTGATGTTCTTTTTTTTATTTTTTTAAGATTTATTTATTTATTTATACAAGCACTGGGTACAGTCAGAAGCGTGGGAGGGTGAGAGAATTCACCAGAGCCAGAGCGGGGAACAGAACAGGCAGACTTACGAAGTACACTGCTGAGGGGAGCAGCAGGCGGCAGGAGAGGTCTGTGCACCATGTGGGACCCTCACATGGAACTGGAGGCTGGGGATGGAACTGGAGCTGCAGAGGCTGGGGATGGAACTGGAGCTGCAGAGGCTGTGGGCAGCTTCACAGCCCAGCGCTCAACCGCTGCGCCACCAAGGGAGGCCCCAATCCGTGATGTTCTTGTGAGATGCAACAAATTCTTAACTAATTTATTCATTCACTTATTTCTTACTTCATTCCAAAGAGTGAATTGAAGGGTGCTGTGACCTGTTGGCCACCCAAATTTGTAAGTAAATTTCCTGACCCTCATTGTGATGGCTTTAGAAGGTGAGATCTTTGGGAGGTAAATAGGTCATGAGGCTGGAGGCCTCATAATGGGATTAGAACCTTCATAAGAAGAATGTGGAGAGTTAGGTTGCTCTTTCTAGCCTATAAATCTATCACAAGTCAGCAGAAGAGAAATTTCACCAGACCCAGACTAGATGGGCACTTTGATCTCAGACTTCTATGATACAGATGGTACTAAATAATTTTTTGTTGTTTATAAGTCTCCCAGCTGAACTAAGACAAAGGGATGCACGTTTCTACTGTTTACTATATAACCTTATCCTCTTTAATAAAGAGTTGCTAGTATGGCTGTTCCCGCAAACTAGCAGATAAAATTAGTTCTTTCTGTGGAAATAGAGAACAACAACAAAAATAAAACCTTAAATTCTGATGCTCTATTTCATAGTTTAAAGAAGTTTATAGTCTTCATGTTCTCTGTGATCTTACCTACTATTTAGACTCTACCACAGATTGATTATATATATTAACTTTATTGTTTAGTAAATTGTAAATTAAACCCAAAGCAGTTTTGATTACCATACTTGACATGAAATAAAAAGTAGTTTTGAAATTAAAAAAAAAACTTGCTTACTGATTTATCAAATATTTGAAGAATGAATTAAAAGTATAATCTAGGTTTTATTGTTGTTGCTATTGCTAATGCAGCATAATAAAAGTTTCCCTGGTTTAGAAGTTAAATAGAAACTTACTGTTGTATATTTGTGGATAAAATCATTTATCTACAATTCATGGTTTTTCTGTAACTTTTCCTAGCTACCATAAAGTTGCCTAAACTTTATAATCACACTGGAATGAATAATATACTTCCATTTATGAATTTCATTTCCTTAAAGTTGCAGCTGATACTTTTTTTTTCCTGGATGAATTTCTGAGTGAGAAGAATATAGGGTTTGACAGCTACAAACAGGAAATTGGCAGTGGTCCTGGGAGTGGGAATAACTATGATACAAATGATGGTTAACCCACCTCCAATAGATTTACTAGGGATAATGTGATCCTTTCATACATTTTTAATTGTTATTCTTTCCTACAGAACAGCCTATGCAGATTAAGGTTTATAAAATTTGAAATGACTTTTTTTTTTCTTCTAACATGTCAGTGTGAGTCTTATCTGTACTTTGTCTCCTCAGTTCTTTTAAGAATCATAATTGGTGTGATTATCATTACTATGAGAATAATTAGCCATAGCTTTTTGACACTCTAAATTGGGAATACAGAATTTTCAAGAAGCAGGGACTAAACCATCTCACTTTAAAACTGAAAAGGGCGCTGCCTACTGGATTTAGGTGCAGTGATTCTGAGTCCTTTGCCATTCTTACTGAATAAGGTAGAGAAAAGAAATAAAGCAGCTCACATTTTCATATGAGAAACTGAACAGAAATATCTTTAATGAGCTAATTGCCTGATATAACCAATAAATAAAAAAGAAGTAAACAAAACCAGTATTTTGAGAACCAGATTTTTACTCACTGACTTATTCCATTGTTTGAAAAATAATGTAATGCTTTAAAGTTTCAGAGAAGAAAGCTATAACCATGATATCAGATTTAAATACTTGGATCACCCATTCTACCATTAGAATATTCTATTATTTGAACAAAATGAGATTTTTGTTCCAAGTATAAATAAGTTGAGGAAACTCTGAAGGATACCCAGAAGGATAGCAATTTATTTACATAATCATAGGGCTATATTTTATGTTTATTTTGATAATCTAGTGTAGTCAATTTATTTTTCCACATTTAGTTTTTATATCAGAATTCAAATATAATCCAGGAACACTACAAAAACAATAGAACAATGAATAAAATATAAAAAGGAAAGTAGAATTTATCTGAGGTTCTTCCTTCCAAAAATTATTAAAATTTCACCCTGGTTAATAACCTGCCATAAATGATGTCATATTATATATGATTTATAAACAGTAATGAATGACAGATATCAGATACTATATAGTCACTAAAAGTAACATTTATCCCATCATAATAATATGTTATAGTATATTTAATTTTCTATTGATGGATACTTTAATGTTTGCTCTTCTGAATGATTCTTGAGAGAACATATTCAAAGCATATTCTTTAGGGAATTTTTTGATTATCCTCTTAAGGTTTGACGGTAGACTTTTAGAGCTAGATGGGAGCTTACAGAAGTTCTAATTAAACCATGGTACAAGAATTTAAAATATTTGTTCAAGGTTATAAACTTAATTAGTGGTAACAAAGCCAAAATTATTGATTTACTGAATGCATAGGGTGAATGTACTATTGTGACATGTACTATAAATTGTAAATTTAAAGGCAAGAGCCCAACCTTGCCATTTAGGACCTATCAAAACTGCAGCAAGTAAAAGATGCTTAATAATTCTGTGACTATTAAGTTAGAAAGTCTCTCTTGATACAAGAACTTTTACAATAGTGTCCTAACTACTCATTCTGTTCAGTCTCTCTATTTTAGACATCTAATTCACATCCAGCTGCTAGTTATCACTTTAAGAATTAAAGCTCTTGAGCCTCCCTGGTGGCACAAGGGGTTAAGCACCACACTATGGAGCAATCCTCAGCCTCTGCAGCATGAGTCCGATCCCCAGCCACATGGCGCAGCAGACCTCTCCTGACATGCCCGTTACTCCCCTCAGCAGTGTATTTCAGTCAGTCTGCCTGTTCTGTTCCCTGCTCTGCCTCTGGTGAATCCTCTCAACCCCCACATCTCTGGCCTGCACCCCAGCTCTTGTATGAATAAATAAATAAATCTTTAAAAAAAAAGAAAAGAAAAAAAAAGAATTAAAGCTCCTTACGTCCTGGCTTAGTATAAGTCTTTATCTTTATAACTATTCCTAAGTCTAGATACAAAATTAGCACTTCTTGCTGCTAAAACAATGAATAGTTTATGTGCAATTCAAAAGATGACTATAAGTTGTTATTTTTGAGTAGATTATTAAATGAATTAGAACTAGTCTTCCTTTAGAGGTTATACAAGGTGAAAATGGAGGTGATCTTGAACTAGGCTGATGATTGCGGGACTGATAAGAAAAGGTCAACTCAAAGAGACAGTATGAGAAACAACTAGAAGAACCAATGCAGTGGCCAGGACTCACCTGGGAGCATAGGAGAAGGAAGAATTTGAAACAATGTTGTAGTGATTATTATTACCAAAGTGAAAAATAATAACTTTTTTTCTTTTACAAAGTTATGAAAGCTAACAGGGGGACATTCACAGAGTGAAATGAACGATTTCTTTCTTAGTAACTATAATTCAACCTGTTCATTGGTTGAAGAATGCTCTGGTTTAGGGTGATGAATGAGGGTACCATGGAGTCTTTGACACATATATAGATGAAATCATGAGATCTTCTGATTCTGATACATTAATTTAGTTACTATCAAAAATGGAAAGGAGTGCTTGACACTTGTATAAGTAAACACATATTTAAACTACTGAAAATTAATATCAATCTATTTAACCTTTTACTTATGATATGGCTGTTGTTCAGCATTCTAAAGTTGCTGTGGGAAATAGCTTTGCTATTATATATGTTTAGAGCTGTATCAAGCATATAGTAAGTGCTCAAAATACTGAAGCTATTTATAAATTCAACAAATACTATATTTATTGAGCACTCATCCTGGGTCAAATGAGCACTTAAAGTACTCAATTTATTGTAGCTATGCATAAATTCAATGTTTTCTTCTCTTTCTGCACCTTCCTCCCTTTGATTTGGATGTGACTTTGCCTTGAATTCCAAGGAAGAAAGTACTGTCCAGGGTCAAGGTCTGTGCATCTTCTTCCTTGTTTGGCTGGACTGCTCTTCCCTAATTAGCTGCAGAACTCCTGCTCTCATTCTTCAGTGTCATTGTCAGTGTCTTGAAAGTCATTGCCTAACCACCCTATGAAAATAACAATGCATTCCTCCCACCACCACTTAGCACTCTGATTCTTTTATCTTAGTTTTTTGTTGTCATAGCATTTTCACCTTCTGACATATATGTTTCTACTTATTTATTTTGTTTATGCCAACTAGCCCCTTCCTCACCTAGAATATGGAATTTCCCTATTGTAGTCAGTGGTTTTTGTCTGGTACCCAACATGCAGGAGTAAGTAGACACTCCAGTAACTATCTGTTGAATTAATGAAGAAGAAAGAGGAATGACAACCACCTATTAAGTGCTGTGGTGTGTCAAGCAGAATGCAAAGCACTTTGTATACCTGTTTCATTAGTACAAAAAAGAACCCTATGATAAAGGCTTTATTTTTTCCACTTTAAAATTTGAGGAAATGACTATTAGAGCTCAAAAGGCATGGGGAGAATACTCTCTACTGGTAGTCAGGAGGCTGGAATGAATTCTCAGAGGGGTTGAGTTCTTACTAAAAGTCCCCACTGCGAGCTCTCTATAATTTGTATAGGTTTGATTTCAACACAGAGATCTGTGCCACAGTCCCTTGGGATGCCTTTGTGCTGAAGCCTACAAAGGCTCCCCTAATGTGATTTGGCTTGAATTATGTACTTGTTAGTCAATTGGAACTTTTAGATTTCATCTGGTGCGCCATATAAATAACCCTGTCTTTACTTGACACAAGATTATGTACTAGCCTGACTGCCCTTTTAAATTAAACATTACAAAATCAATGAGGTATCATTAATGGTACACTGCTTGAATGAAAAAAAAAATCCTAAGTAAACTTCTTTTGTGGTTCATTCTGGATGAGGGTTCAGATGAGGATTAGATGATTAGTGTATGTTTTTATTTCTCCCTGCAGAGTTTTGACATATGCATGAATCATCCCCAAATGGCAAATAATGGGTCTGACAAGACTATCTCAGTTTCCTCTATTACTATTAAAAGATCCATTAAAGTATGACCAGCGATAGGGAAGCTAAGATGTGAGTAGATAAAGGGGGAAAAACAAAACCCCCAAATCTATTTTACAAATGAAATCAAGAAAGTTATAGACATGTGCATCTTTCTTTGAGTAAAAGCACTCTGAAGTGGGGTCTCTTTGTCCACGTAGAACTTTATTTTCTCAAGTAGATGTGAAAGAGGGTGGCTGAAAACTTAGAGTATGGCTATTTAATTTCATATACATGATGGAGGGAAGAATGTTAGCTAATTTTCTGTTTTTTAAGGTTTAGTTACTTATTTATTCATAGAAGAACTGGGGCACAGGCCAGAGGCTGGAGGTGGGGGTGAGAGATTCACCAGAGGCAGAGTGGGAAGAAGAACAGGTGGATTTATTGAAATACACTGCTGAGGGGAACAGCAGGAAAGACAGGAGAGGTCTGCTGTGTCATATGTGGGTGTTAGCTCCCTGGCTGTGGATTGAACTCAGGGTAAGCGGTGATAGCATGATAGTGCTAAGACTTAACCTATGCCACCTGGGAGGCCCTAGTGCTCCTAATGAAGAAACTCATGTGGCATATTTTGTCATCCAACAGGTATGACAGACAGATCCATGGAATTCTTTGTCTGGTTGAAGAAGCACCTAATTTGCAGCCAGGGACAAAACTGTGATTATGATCTACTTTATTTACTATTTGTCCTTGTACATATATTTGTATATACATGTTTTATATGTATAATACATGCATACATGGCTATATATTCATATGAATAGATACATATATGTGTGAACTATGAATGGAGAGGTGATGTGCTGCTATTCCTGATTCTAAAAAAACTGTTGCACGTGGTAATCAAAAACCTCCCCAAAAACAAAAGCCCAGGACCTGATGGATTTACAAATGAATTCTACCAAACATTCAGAGACAAATTAGTGCCTATCCTTCACAAACTCTTCCAAAAAATTGAGAAGGAAGGGATAATACCAAACATGTTCTATGAAGCCAACATTACACTAATACCAAAACCGAACAAGGACAACACAAAAAAAGAAAACTACAGGCCAATCTCCCTAATGAACACTGATGCAAAAATTCTCAATAAAATTTTAGCTATCAGAATCCAACAATGTATCCATAAGATAATTCACCACGACCAAGTAGGATTCATTCCAGGGACACAAGGATGGTTCAACATCTGAAAATCAATCAACATTATCCAACACATCAACAAAAAGAAATATAAAAACCATATGATAATATCAATAGATGATGAGAAAGCTTTCAACAAAGTGCAACAACCATTCATGATAAAAGCCCTTGAAATTCTTGGGATACAAGGAACATACCTCAACATCATAAAGGCCATATATGACAAGCCAACGACCAGTATCATTCTCAATGGTGAAAAGCTGAAAGCATTTCCATTAAGATCTGGAACAAGACAAGGATGTCCACTCTCACCACTGCTTTTCAATATAATACTGGAAGTCCTAGCCAGAGCAATAAGACGAGAGAAAGACATACAAGGAATTCAAACCGGAAAAGAAGAAGTCAAACTATCACTATGTGCAGATGATATGATAATATACATAGAGAACCCCAAAAACTCCACAGAAAAACTAATTAAACTCATCAATCAGTTCAGTAATGTGGCAGGATATAAAATCAACACACAAAAGTCAGTAGCCTTCCTATACACAAACAATAAATCTGAAGAAGAAGAAATAAAAAAAAAATCCCTTTTATTATCGAAACAAAAAAAATCAAATATTTGGGAATAAATCTAACAAAAGAGGTAAAGGACCTATACAAAGAAAACTATAAAACACTGTTAAAAGAAATAGAAGAAGACCCAAAGAAATGGAAAGACATACCCTGCTCATGGATTGGAAGAATAAACATTATTAAAATGGCCATCCTACCAAAAGCAATATACAGATTCAATGTTATGCTATTGCAATAAAAATTTCAAGTCATTCTTCAAAGAATAGAACAATTATTGATAAAATTCATAAGGAATCACCAAAAACCCTGAATAGCCAAAGCTCTCCTGAAAAAAAAAAAAAGAAGGGAATGGAGGCATCACACTCCCAGATTTCAGGCTATACTATAAAGCCATAATCATCAAAACTGCATGGTATTAGAACAAGAACAGACACACAGACCGAAGGAATCAAATAGAAAATCCAGAAATAAACCCACAGATTTATGGTCAACTAATCTTTGACAAAAGAGCAAAGAATATGCATTGGAGCAAAGAAAGTTTGTTCAATAAATGGTTCTGGGAAAACTGGGTCGTTACACGCAAAAGAATGAAGCTTGACCACTACTTCACACCATACACAAAAATCAACTCAAAATAGATTAAAGAACTAGACATAAGACCTGAAACCATAAAATACATAGAAGGAAATATAGGCGAAACACTACATGATATGCACATCAAAGACATCTTTACAGACACATCACCCAAAGCAGTGATAGTGAAGGCAAAGATCAACAGCTGGGACTACATCAAATTAAAGAGTTTCTGCACAGCAAAAGAGACAATAACAAAAACAAAGAGAAACCCCACTGACTGGGAGAACATTTTTGCACACAACACTAATGATAAAGGACTGATCACAAAAATCTACCAAGAGCTGATGAGACTCAACAAAAACAAAGAAAATAATCCAGTCAAAAAATTGGCAGAAGAGCTAAAAAGAAACTTCTCTGAAGAGGAAATGCAAATGGCCAACAGGCATATGAAAAAATGTTCAACATCACTTGTAATCAGGGAAATGCAAATCAAAACTACCATGAGATACCATCTTACACCAGTGAGAATGGCACATATTAAAAAAAAAAAAAAAAAAACTAGCAACAACAAATGTTGGCAAGGTTGTGGAGAAAAAGGAACTCTCCTGCACTGTTGGTGGGAGTGCAAACTGGTCCAACCACTATGGAGAGTGGTGTGGAGATTTCTTGACCTACTAAACATAGAGCTTCCATATGATCCAGCAATTCCACTCCTAGGTATTTACCCAGAGGACACAGAAACATCAATTCCAAAGAGCACCTGCACCCCTATGTTTATAGCACCACTGTTTACAATAGCTAAGCTTTGGAAACAACCCAAATGCCCAAAAATAGATGACTAGATCAAGAAGATGTGATACATATACACCATGGAATATTACTCAGCATTCAAAAATGATAAACACATGCAATTTACAGCAACATGGATGGATCCAGAAGGGATCATGCTCAGCGAAATAAGCCAGAAAGAAAAAGAAAAATACCGGATGGTCTCAGTCATAGCAGCAATCTAGAAAACTTAAATAAGGGACCAGGAAAAAGAATAACTATAAGAAAGAAAATTTCAAAATCAACAAACAACTATGAACCAGAGACACTCTATGGGGAGTGGGGTATGGGGAGGGGAGGGATTGGGGTCAAAATAAGGGGGTCACAATTGTATGGGGAATATAAAAATAAAATTTATAATTAAAAAAAACAAAACACCATGGCACACTAAAATTCATTTATTTTTCCTGACACTTGTGCTCAGTTTACACATTATGCGATTGTTCTAAAGGATTGTGAGGCAGGTGAGAAAAGAGATGATGCTATAAACTAAATAAATGAAGGAAATCAATCAACAGAAGTTTTTGAAGAAAACCTTCAATAGCCAAAGACTGAGTAAATTCAGTTTTGCTTTCATTAATTTCAAACTAATTACCAATACCAATAAAGAAACTACAACCAACTGTGATGAAAACATGTAATGGATGCATATGAAAAAAATGTGTATTGATAGACACAAAGCTATGCAAGAGTTGGGCAGATACAGATCTGTTATTCAGACAGACTTAAAATACTAGCTGGATAGAGGCTATAGGATTGAGGTAGAATTAATGGAAATTTTATTTATTTTAAATTTCTACATAATTATTAAGTTTGTGAATTTTTCATTGCTGTAAAATAAACTTGTCTTTTATACATGTAGCTGAAAATGCCATATATCTGTCAGTTAAAAAAAAAACAAAAAACAATGAAGCTTTCCATAGGAAATTCTGCATTCAACTAGAACAAACTGCTATTTCTGGATTCACTTTCTTTGACTCTAAAATGGACTTAATCAAAATTAGATGCAAATGCTGAGAAACATTACATGGGAGAAGAAAATGGATGCAAATGCTGAGAAACATTACATGGGAGAGGAAAATGGATGCAAATTTAAGGAATTGCTATATCCCTAAATGAATGATTACTAACAGAAATGGTACAGTGCCCCAAAAGATTATTTAGACTACGTGGAGATTTTTAACTGTTCCAGCATTTGTGGAAGATGCAAATTACACTGAATAGATCATGCACTGATACTAGAGATCCTAAAATGTATGCATGGCTTCCCATGTTGCATAAGACCTGTTGTTCTCCTAAACATTTATGTATGTAGATGGAAGTCTATTTATAATTCAGAACCTAAATCCATTTACGGGAAATACCATAATACTATATGTTTCTAGTATTAACAAATGTAATAAGAAAGCAAGTGATATGTAAATTGAGAATTATCTTCTTTGTAACTTGATTGAAAGTTGTCCTCCATTCTAATAAATTGTGGTAGTTAGGACAATTATACTTGTATAATTACACTTTCGTCACCAGTTATACTTATATCCCCAATATCTGCTTATATTTTCAACTACCACATTTCTGGTTATTCTACATGTAAATGGAGGCATCTGACTATTTCCCTGTGTCTTTTACACTAGACTGTCCATGCATTTATATATAAAAGCACATTAGTTAACTGTAAATTGTTTTCTTTTAATTGCCATTTTATATCATGGTTATATTAATTTCAAAACCTATATCAATAGGATTATAATCTGTGAATTGCATTTCAGGATAGCATATAGGTAATTCCAAATTGTTCTTACAAAAAGAGGAGTAGAAGGCAGGATAGAATTGGGAATCGCCATGCTGGAATATTCTTATTACATCAGCTTATCAAAATATCTTCCTTCAATTGTTTCTTCCAATTTCCAGAAAAATGTAAGAGATCACACTTAGAAATCATGCTGTCATGTGAAGTCTCCAAGTTTCGTGACATACATCAGAAGAGATATGATCCTATACCTCTGACTTATCTATGGTGTTGTAAGCCAATGTTATCTCACTAAAAAAAAAAAATACATGACTAACTAAGATCAGGTCAACAGTGTAAAACTAAATTTATGACATCAAACTTCAATGAGCTATAACTCTAATTTTCTGTTTCTTTCATTCTATCCAGACTGAGACTTCTTGGTTAAGTCTTTGATGCTTTCCTTTTTGATATTTATCTGAGTCTTTACTTGTGGTTACAGTTCAAACCTTCTGTGTGTTCTATATTTAGTGCTATAAAATAAGGTGCTGATGGTAAAAAAAAAATGTCATAAATACTGGCTTAGAGTCTTTAAGGATGGGAAAAAAAATGGCCATTTAGGGAGTAAAAAGTTGTTCAGGCTGAAGGACAGTGTAGAAACATCTGGTATTATAACCATTATGACAATAAAGAGACAAATTATAGTAACTCTTAGATTTCAGTTCCTAAAATTCCATAGACTGTCTCTGATATGTCAGTGGACATAAACCAGAACAAATGTCTTTGTTTTTTAACTTCATTTTTGCCACCTTCCCATTGTACATTAAGGGTCTGGGGTGAGTCCACATGGCTTGCAGTTTCTCCTGGCTGCTATATTGAGCTCACCAACTTTCCCTTTTCCAATACTTAATGAAGTTTTTACTTGATCTATTACTTTAGCTCTTTATCCCATGTGAGGTTTAATTAATAAAGTAAATGATGCAAGAATTTACACATTTTTCATTCACTCTAATTAGTAATTAGTTAAAATTTGAATAAGTAATTGCTAAAATGAATAATTTTTAAAAGTTTGAGAATCAGAAAAATAAGCTCAATCTCACATGAAATTAGAAACTATTTACCAAAAAAATCAGGGAAAGCTTTAATACAGGGCATTAGGAGTTACAAAGTGTTTGAAAGTCTGGAGAAGTGAAGGTCAGGGAAATCCATTACTGTCATTTCAGAAGTCAGAAAATTGCATCTATAAGGGAAAATCAGAGATCAACTACTTTAGCCCTGAGGTGTGTGACTGAATTAGAATGCCAGAAAAACACTTGATAAATTTCATGTCTTTTGTATGTAAAACCCATGTATTTGCAATAATAACTTTTTCTTTTCTTTCTCTTCTAAAACTTAGACATGTGGCTGAAATCTAAATTAGAACACTGCTACTGCTGAATTCTGGAACAGTTGGTTTCCAACCACCTTCCAAGCATTCATTTCATTCCCTTCTGATGCTGATGCTCACAATATGTGTCTGTGTGCTGTGTCAAAGAAGTCAAACCTAAGCACTTGTAAGGAAGGACTCCAAAAAAGGAGATATTAAACTATTTGACCTAAAAGTAACCAGAAATGCTCAGGAAATTGAAAAATTGGAATGTAAGGAAGTGAGTTGGGAGGCTAAAAAGAAGCAAATGAAAGTTTAAGTAGCAATGTGAAAATGAAGCAATTATTTACTGTAGAAAAAATATAAAACCACAAGTAGTATAATACAGAAAGAAAACTTGGAACATGTGACTTCAAAAGTCATTTGTTTAAAAAACAAGTAAATTGATATTTACTAAATATTGATGATGACATATTAATATATGCCTTATAAATTTGATATTTTTTTCCAGAAAACATTGCTAGAGACTTAAAAGCTTTTATATTTAGGAAATGGAAAGATGAGATAGGAGCTTAGAAACAAGATATTAAAACTGGGAATATATTTCTGGAAGATATGTTAGAGAAGTCGAAAATAACTTGTCAGGGAAGAGTAAGGACAACCCCAAACTTCTGTAGAAGACAAACTTACAACACTTCTCCTATCAGAATCTAACTAACCTGTGCTATCAGAACTTCATTTAGAATCAGATTTATCAAAATAGTGGGGCAGAGTCAATAAATTATCTGTAATAGAATTTAGTTTAGAATGCTCATTTTCTATAGCTGTCATGGAGAAGTTCTGAGGTAAGATTTACCAAAACCATACTCTAGTAAACAGTAACTATTATGATTTTTTTTGCTTTAAACTATTATTCCTTTATACAAAGATTGCATTATACTCCAAAATGGAATATGTAAACTACTGTTTTCAACTTTTTAAATAAATATTATTTTTATATTCCCCATACAATTGCAACCCCCTTATTTTGACCCCAATCCCTCCCCTCCCCACCCCCTACCCCCCAGAGAGTGTCTCTGGTTCATAGTTTTTGTTGATTTTGATTTTCACTTTCTTATAGTTATTCAACTTTTAAAATTCACAGACAATGAAAATATTTCTTCCAGCTTGTAGAGAGGTTCATCTTACAAGAAAAAATTATTAATTCACTGTCAGGTATAATCCTTCCATGATTTGCCATTGCTTGTGCAGCAGAGAACACAGAATGACCTCAAAATCCCATGGATGGGGCCACCTCTGTCTCCCCTGGCCCACACATGCCACTCTCTCTCATTCGCACTCAGAAATGTTCTTTTATACCTCACTGGCCTTTGCGTTTGTCTGATTTTTATTCTGAGTCATTGGTTCCTGCCTCCTTTGCCTAATTTTTAAAAGATTCTTTTTTTAAAAAAATATGTTTTTATATAATTTTCAGGGCAAACTTCCCAGATAAACATCTCCATTCTACACTAGAACAGATCATTTCTGATGCTACGTTCTTAAAACACTGTCCTTTTTTTCAGAGCATTTGACATAAGTTATCATAACTATATTTCATAACATTTGAAATATAGTTGCATTCTTGAAACAGTAAACATATTACTTATTCTTTCAGTTAGTTCCTTTATGGTCTAGTTTGGACAAAATTTAAAAAAAGTAATAATGTAGTTACAGTTAAGGAACACTAATGGATATAATAGAAAGATAAGCAAATAATTTTACTGGAACCTGGGTGCAATGTTGCAACAGATGGTGGACATTTAGATAGCATTTCTTCCCATAAACAAACAAAAAAAAGGTAAGCAAAGTTTCTTAGCTGTTGATTCAAAGAATGCACAGCAATTTGTCAAACATAGTGTTTGAAAATTACTCTGAAATAAGAGGGGCTTGTGACTTTGCTACATAGGATGCTTGGTGACCATTATTATGATCTTTCACATTATGATTATTTTCTTACAATGATACATTATTAAATACTATATAGCAAAAACCATTAGAGGAGAATGGAAAAACCTTATAAAGAACTATCTCTTCCTTTTGAAGAAATTTATTCATGAATTATTTCATTTAATGCTGAATAGGTACAGGGGAAAATGTGAACCCTTGCTTTTGACAAACTACCAAAGTTAAGTCCTCATTTGTATCATCACCCTCTCTTATTTAACAGAGGGCCAATTGAAAAAAAAAACAAAAACCCTTTGTTAGAAGTCTTAACTCAAATATCAACTGTGCACATTTGGTCAATATACCCAAGTGTTAGTTGTCTCAGTAGTAAAAAAGTGCTATGATTACTTACTTCATGGATTTGTGCTTTTGTGTGTAAAAATTAAATAAAATATTAAAATATTAAACATAAAGTGAAGGCAAATTTTTCATAAACTTTGATGTATCAGTTGTGCTTTGAATGTGAAGGTTTAAGAGTTACCTAACCTCTTCTAGATCCCTGAGTGGCATAATTTTATAAAATCTTTCTTTAGAGCTTAAATTTAAGGGTTTCTCCAGAGGGTCAGGTAAATAATTATGACATTTCTTAATTAACTATGATTTAAATCACTAATAAAGCTGAGAAAATCTGCATTTTTATTCTATAAATAGTACCTTATTTAAATGATATATATGCATAAGTCCCAATTTTTTTTTTTTTTAATTTTTCTTGAATGCTGTTTTAGAAACTGTTTTAAAGCTGTGGTCAATAACAGAAGAAATGGTTTGTCACCAGCTGTGTTCAATAGCTACAGGCTATTAAAATTCTCTTGATAAAATTCTCCTTTGGTGTATAAGGTAATACATTTGTCAGACTGACGGATATAGATATAATTTATAGATTTCTAAGGAAGCAAACAAGGAACATGCATGAATATAGATCTCTGCAGCAAGAAGACTATCCAAGAACCAGTGAGCAGATACATTTTCAATGGACGCTTGTAATATTGTGATGTCTTTTTTGCCACATTTAATTTGACAAAGGCTTTTAGCTTTTAAAGTTAATGTTTCTCATTGACTTCTAAAATTAACATCAACTTGGAGAAGGCAAAGACATAATAAACAGCATCTGTTTCAAAAAGCTGCTTGGTGGGTGAAAACTTGAAAAAGTACAAGCCTGGAGACAATATAGATATAATCACACACATACACTCACTCACTCACATCAATTTTAGGGTTAATTAAATCCACAAATCTGTTTCAGTGTAGCTATTCAAAAAGGAAAAGATTTTATATTTGTCACTTGTCAAAGTTTATTTTAGTACCTGATAAATGTCTGGGTGCAAATATGTAAATATAATTGTGAGATCACTAGTCAAATCTATTAGAAAAATTTAACCTAACTGGAGTGAAAGAGGACTCCAAGATATAATCAAGATATCATTGTATGCAAAAAAGTAAAGTGCAGATGAGGCTAACATAACATAATTAAAGCAAACAATTTTTTGAACTACTTCTTTTTTATTATTTATCAAAGTCAGATGAAAGTGGAAATTTTAAGGCTTTAGTTATCTGAATAATTGCTTTGAATTGTTTTCATTGCATATGTGTTTGTGAGAAATACCTGCAGAAACCTAAAGCCATCCCTTGAAATATCAATGAAAAAAGGGAGAAAATACATCTCTTCTACTCATATTTGTGTTAAAGGAAGGAAGGAAGGACAGGAGGAAGGAAGGCAGGCAGGCTGGCTGGCAGGCAGGAAGGGAGGGAGGGAGGGACAGACGGAGGGATATTCAACAAAGCTGATTTAGTCGAAAGTATATCTGCTAGGCATTCAAAATATTTTTAAGAATAGTGTTATTCTGTATTACTCTGGTATCTATTAAGTGGAACGAGTGTTTAGGTTGATTTTTATATTTTAAATTTTGGAAGATAGTTCTGGACACTGACTTTCTGACTGCTGAAACTGTTAGGGGGGAAAGGATGTCCTAAAGCTAATTCCATACAGGCTTTGTGGACTCCACCCCCACCCCAGGCCAAAGCCAAAGACACTGGGAACTCCAAATCCCATCCCCACCAAAGGGAAGGTGGCTGGGACCTGAGGGTGGGATTAAGCAGCCAGGATGGTATAAAGCCAGACACGTGGGCTTTGGAGGGGATCCCCCATTTTGACTCTCCGCCAGCTCGCAGCGTCTGGCCAGCTCTGAGAGTGACTTTGGGTTTCCAGGTCGGCGGATCGGGTAGGACGCATTAAAGACTTTATTTCCCTATTTTCTACCTGAGTTGTACATTTTCCTTATTTCCTTCTCCCTTGTAAATAAAACTTTTATTAACCTTTTGTGTGTGCCTGTAGTGGAGTATTCATAAGTCCCCTGTAAGCGCGGGTGAGGACCCACAGCCAGGCAACCCGTTCAATATCGGGGCTGCCCTATAACAAAACCACATCCATAAGCAAATCCACCACTTTAGCAGGTGTCTGAGAAAACAACTCAATTCTGACATCATCTACTTAGAAATAAAGTCAAGTCCCACAAGTTAAGGAATCAGTTCCCCAAGACCACCCTCCAAACACTGGCACTGTGTGTGAGTGCCAGTGACTGTGACACTAACTGTGAGTTCCCAGCTAATTAATACCCTTGCGTCCGTGCAACTGGTTATTGATCACTCCAACTTTAAGTGTTCTTTGCAAGCCCAGATTATTATAATAAATCATTATGACAATAAATTTGGCTATAAATAAGAGATCTCAGAACACCCACCTCAATGTTTAATTTGTTAGGACTAGTACACAGAACTCAGGGGACTCATTATCTCACTGATTTATTACAAAGGATACTAAAGGATAGGGATTGTAAAAATACTGTAAAATTTTCTGGAGACCCTGCACCTTATCCAGCAGACAGGACAGCAAAATCAGCTTCACAGGTGCCATGCTGTATGCAGGAATCTACTGCCTGTAGGTAAAGTCAAACTGTTCAGATTAAAAAAAATATATATATATATGTACACCAAGCTTTTGCATCTCTGCAGTGCATTCAATGATAAGGAAAAATTTAATCCTGCAGTGCATCTTTAACTTTCAGTATCAGCATATCTTTAGATCAGGGCAAATTTGAACTAGACAAGTCTCCTATTAAGAATAATTACATTCTTAGTATCAGTGACTCACTTCCTACCTATATACACTAAATACCATCTTGTGTACATTGGAACAGATCTGACAGAGCAAAATCTGTCAGAATGTTTCCCATGTTTGTTGTCTCACTTTCATTATCTAATAAACTCTTTGTCTAACTATCATTTATTTTCACATTGGGGTTGCCTTGCAACAGTTTGGCACCCGATGTGATTGACCATGTTACACCCATCATTTCACATTGGGATTGCCCTGTACCATTATGATGAACTAAAATTCAAGTTTATTATTGGTTATATGTTCTTTTTAGTTCTTCTATCTGTCATTACACAATAAACTTTTTTGAATGGCTAGGTGATTTT